GAGATCTGCCCAGGAAAAACCCTGGGTAACTGGGGAGATCCGGAACCTTGGGAAGACTCTTCGCAAACTATTTAACCGGGCACGGCGTAAAAAGACCGCAGTATACTGGGATGAGTATCGTAATAAACTTGGTGAATATAAGAAAATCGTTCGAAAAGCCAAACGAGACTCCTGGAAACTTTTCTGTGAACAGGTAGATAGCGTAAATGACGTATCGAAGATAAAAAAATTCCTATCCAAAACTCATGTCCAACCGGAATCTATGATCGATGACACGGGCAGGAGGCTTGATGATATGGAGGAGACAATGAAACTCCTAATGGATTCTCATTTCCCACCCGGTATATCGAATAACATAGATGAACCGATATTGGAGGAAGGGGAGGGTAACACGGAAATAGTAATTACAACTGACATGGTTAAAGGGGCAATCAAGAACTTTGCTCCCTATAAAGCTGCAGGGCCGGATGGAATTTTCCCGGCACTTTTGCAGATGGAGGCGGGACTGGTTTCCGTACATCTGTCACAGATATTCACTGCATGCTTAAAATTGGCATATACCCCAGTTAAATGGCAGGATGAAAGGGTAATATTTATACCCAAACCAGGGAAACCTAGCTATGCGACACCTAAGTCCTATCGACCGATAAGTCTTACGTCCTTCCTACTTAAAACCTTGGAACGGATAGTCGATAGCATGGTTAAAAGCAGCATACCATACAAAGACCTTAAATATAAGCAGCATGCTTATGTAAAGGGACGATCGGTGGAATCCGCTTTAAATGAAGTTGTCCACTACATAGGTGAATCTTTCGATAGCAAACTGTATACACTGGCAGTATGCACTGACATCGAAGGCGCTTTCAATAACGTGCACACTGATACCCTTATCCAATCCCTAGACCAGTTTTATGTTGACCGGGTGCTCCGTAACTGGATCAACTACATGCTAAGGAACAGATGGATAAGCTGCGAGATGTACGATATAACTATCAGGAAAAAGGTATTTCGCGGTATACCACAGGGTGGCATTTTGTCACCTTTACTCTGGGTTACCACGATTAATAGCCTCCTAAGGACCCTAACCGAGAAAGGACTTAGACCTGTCTGCTATGCAGACGATGTCGTAATACTTTTAAAGGGAAAGGATCCAAATTACTTGTGTAGAAGAGCTGAGGACTGCTGGTGGACTGCTTTGGACAAAAAGTGTAATATCAAACTACTACAGGGAGGCTTGGGTATAAGTGGTGCCATGTGTACTACTTCAACCAAGGCTCTGGAAACGTTGCTAGATATTCCACCCATTGAAACATATATAAGATATGAGGCGGCGCTTATAGCCGAACGGCTCTTTACTTTAGGCGAACTGGCCAAAAACGGTTATAGGACACGTCATCAATGTATACTGGACACATTGGAAGGTTATACACATTCATCGGACGTGCCTGATCGCATACCAGACACTGAATATGTCGGAAACTTTGAAACGCTAATCCCAGATAGAATGTCTTGGTCAAGCGGAACATGTAATTTAGATAACTAGTAGTCATCAATGTATACTGGACGTTGCTATCAATGTATACTGGACACATTGGAAGGTTATACACATTCATCGGACGTGCCTGATCGCATACCAGACACTGAATATGTCGGAAACTTTGAAACGCTAATCCCAGATAGAATGTCTTGGTCAAGCGGAACATTAGAGCAAATACCAGTAGGAATCCGTTGCTACACGGATGGCTCTAAATAAGGGGACAAAGTGGGCCTGGGGTTCTATATTGAAAACCCAGAAACAGAAATATACCACCGTTTACCTAATCATAACACAAGCTTCCAGGCAGAAGTACGAGCAATAACGGAATGTGTAAATTGGATTAGAATAAATATGGCGCCCACAGGTCTTAATATATTTACCGACAGCCAGAAGGCAATTTGTGCGATATCAGGTGATAGAATTAAATCTAAGACCGTATTGGATTGTAAGAAAGCTTTAACTGAATACTCTCCCAGAGGTAAGGTTCACATTATATGGGTACCAGGCCACTCGGGAGTAGTCGGCAACGAAAGGGCGAATGTAATAGCTTTAAAGGGAAGGGAGCTCGATGTAGTTAACCTGACAAACGCAAAACCATTCAACGCAACAAAAGCTGAATTAAAAATATGGATGAGAGAATCCCATAAGGCCTCTTGGAATAATGAAGCGGTGGGTAGAACCACAAAGATTCTATGGGGTGACCCTGATGAGAGCAAGACGAGAAATCTTCTCAAAATGAGCAAGTCTGAGGTTAGTATGATGGTACGTATTCTCAGTGGACACACAGGATTACGAGCACATCTATACAAAATTGGACGTGCGAATTCAGACGAATGTAGAGCATGTGGAGAGGACAGTGAAACTCTGGAGCACTTTCTTTGCCATTGTCAGGCATTCGTCGAAGTTAGATCCAAGTATCTTGGAAGTGATGTTATTCCGGAAATAACATTCTTAACCAACACCGATTGGAAGATTCTTAGGAATTACGTCCAGGAAACTGAGTTTCTGAACATGGAAAAATAATACATTCAGTGAACAATTTTTTTTCCCTTGAATTGGAGCGCACAACAGGCCCGATAGTGGCCTAGGTGTATTTCTTCGGATTTGATGTAGTATACATCCTCCTATCAACATAACCTAACCTAATGCATTTAAAGTTAGTTGAGTTGCTGGCAGGGTATGTACATGTAAAAATATTTTTGTAAGTTAAACCCATTTTATAAACTTAAGATATTTTGTAAATAACTTTAAGGTTTCATTTTACACATTTACATATACAAATATACCAACACAGAGTATATGTATGTATATACTTACATATTCATTCAAACAAATTCCTTTACACCAACAACCACACAGAACAAGCAAGAATAACAAAATACGACACCTTGACAGTTTATCAAAATTTTTCTTTCCTCTTCATATTCATAAATAAAGTGCTTAAGTCTTTATAAAGGTTACATCAGGGTGGAATTAGTTAAAGTGGAACTTTAGAGAGATCTCTTTTATAAACTTCCTTAAATGTAATTCAAACATAAAGCGTTAATTATAAGAATCGGGAAATTATAAAAGACAACAAAAAAAAAACAAAATTTTTAAAAAAGTTACCCTTTCAATCTTTAAATCAAATATCTAAAAAGAAAAATAATTTTAAACAGATTTCTTTATATTAAACCCAAATTCAAACCAAGAACAAATTTTTATTTTTACAAACATCCATTAAAGTATTCTGGTACAAATGCTCAAGGGAGCATGTCTGAGTAATTGTTAATGTGTATGATTTTATTAATTTAATCCATTTTTAAAGAACCCCTTTATTTTTGGGATGTGTGAACGAGTATAATTTAAATATTCCAAACACGCAATAAATGAATCGATGTATAAATACTGCACGTTTGCCAATCAATATTATGTCAAAATGTAAAATTGTTTAAAACTTCACACACATACGTATGTACATATTGGTGTGAGTATGAGACACACACATACACCATGTAAAGACGACAAAGAAGAGTTATTCATATAATCATTTGTAGACTGCAATGCTGCTCCTGTCACTCTGTCAATGTAATAAAAAGGATAATAATGCAATGCAACCAAAATTTACTACATTATCAATACTACATACATATGTATGTATGTATAAATGAGTGTATATGTTTGTGTGTGAGTATAAATGTGCAGCTTTAAATAAATTTGTGTTCTGACTTCATCATTATAAGAAGGATTTTCACATTCAACAGACAGTGTATTGAATTGTGCAATTTATAATAAATATAAAATTATATCACTGTATTGAGTAACACGTATGTAATTATGTTTGTATATGCATTCATATGGATATGGTTAATTAAAATGCAAAAGGTCTGATGTTAAATGTCAATAATCATACAGTCTGTATTTAAGCGCTATTTTGATTTTTAAAAAACGATTGACAGATATTTTCTTCAATTCTTATAGCATAATATTATTGAACTAATTTCATTTGGAGCAACGATATGCCTTAACGTACATATGTATATTTACTAGGTATTTGCTTAAAAGGTTAAAGATTTACCCCCGTATTCATAAAGATATTAATCGTTTATTTTTGGTTTATTAAACACATTTTCCAAACAATATTCCTACAATAAAGTATCAATAACTTTACAGCAAAAACATGGTAATGACTTGTACTTACTCAACAGCATACTGCCTGCATTACTTAGAAGGAGTCTAGTAATGGCTTACAAATAATATATTATGTAAGTTTTTACTTTTTAGCCATTGTTTTTAACACAAACGAAAAAAAGGATATTTTTTATGAAAACAAATAATAGGACGTAGGCATTTTTTTCTCAGAAACAAAACTACTTACTTAACTCCCTATTTGTAACCTAGTGTGGTAAGAACTTGCCCCCAATGTCATCCCCGTGTTAAATTAATGACTTAAAATGCTATTGTGTAAGTAAATTTTAGAATTTTAATACCTAATTTTTCAATGTAAGTTTTTACTGGTTTTATTAAGCATTTATTTTTAAAATCATCATTACAGCTACAGACCTACCAATGCAATATCAACAGCAACAATTGCATGATTTATTCACTTCATTTATTTACATCGCTAAAGGAGGGAATATACAATATTTAATATAATTATTATTAAATTTTATTAATAAATGACCCTCTTATTTGCCTTGGTAATGGATTTTTGCTTAACCTATTGAAGATATCTGAAAAAATTTCATGCAACTTCAAATATATAGATATATTCTCTTAATCAATTAATTGAAAAAGTCAATCGTTTTACAATATTTAATTGACGTACCAACGATGTTGTTTAAATAATTACCAATTGCACATTGATAGCTGATAACTTAAAATATAGGCATTTGTTAATAGAAGTTTCTTTGTACTCTATATGGTTTCATTAATTTGTTTATTTGCCCAAATAATTGTAAAATACAATCATTTGTCAAGCTAAAATAAAACTCTTTTTTCTCTCTTAAATTGATTAAAACATAAAAAATCTCAAAATTTCGATTACGATAATAAATAATCTCTTAAAACTATTGAGGCACATAGAAAATTCACCACAATGCTGGCGACGATCAGTATATGTTAGAAACGCGACTATTCAACACAGAGTCGCACGAGAGCAGGGTGAAACGTATTGGAGGTACAGACACAAACCACAACAACAGAGATCTCATAATTTTGTTATTTCAAAACAGCTGATTACAGTAAAAAGCATGTCGTCGTCAACTTTTAAATCTTTATCAACGAATGAAATTCCAATACGCGTTATCAAACCGCATGAACGTCAACAGGTGTTGGATTTCCTACGTGTGCACTATTATCTGGAAGAACCCTTAACGACGGGCAGTGAACCCAAGCAACAAGATAAGGAAGATGAGGAGTTTAACATGTCGAACATAGAACACGGCACATGTGTTATGGCAGTTCAAAAAGATGACAATAATTCCCAGGAAACAATAGTGGGCGCACTTTTAGCCGGTCCCAAAGGTCCCAATGAAGCAGATCATCTTTTTGAAGAGGCCGCCAATTTGGGTCCAACCAAGTGGGGTCATATAGTACAATTCTTGGGCTGTGTGGAACGAGATGCTAATATATGTGGACGTTTCAACGTACAGAAAGTTTTACATGTTCATGTTATGGGAGTGAATAGCGAAATGCGTGGCCAAAATATTGGACGTCGTTTGGTGGAAAAAGTGCTCAGTTTGGCAAAAAGTTTGAACTACGAAATGGTATCTGTAGATTGCACTAGTTTCTATTCCGCTAGATTATTTGAACGCATGGGCTTTGAATGCATTAATATTAAATACTATACGGAATATGTGGATGATACCGGAAAACAAGTTTTTAAACCAAATGCACCCCACGAATGTGTAAAAACATTTGCTCTCAAACTTTAAGTAAAATTAATTATGTATATTTTGGCAAATAAAAATTAAAAGTGTTTTCAATTTGAAATAGTAAAAAACCTTGTATTTTTGCCTTACACATATGTAGTTTTGGCGGGAATAAAGTCAAATTAAGAGAATAAAAACTTGTGTACATTGAGTCAACTTATCACTCTCTTTAAATTATAAACAGAGTTCTTATTCAACTTACCCAAAACATATTTTAAATATTATTTACAGACTAATCTCCAAAATACATTTTCATTCATTTAAAAAAGACTGGAACATGCTCCACATTTCTTTTAAAGTTCGAATATTAAAAAACAATTGTAAATTGTCACGAATTGAAAGAAAAAAATCGGGCTAACCGTTCTTTTAGAAAAGTTTCAAATATTCCCGAAAGATATTTGTATTGAATGTAACTCGTATGAAATGTATTAATATTTTTGCTAAGATTTCGAAATAATATTTCATGAGAAAATTTAAAAATCTTAAATTTGATGTCATTAATATACCAATAACGAATTTCTTTATTTTAATTTTTATATAAAACATATTTGTAAGTCGTTGCAAATGTATATATTGTGCAAAGCATTTGATTTATATGTAAAAATCGTTTTTTACACCTGAATTATACAAATTATACGTTCAAGGAAATTAAGTTTATTTTTTTGTTTTGTTTTAATGAGCCTTTTATATGCTGATGTGTGTGTTTGTATAAACTTTTGAATTTAGTAACAGCTAAAGCACTTCGATAAAAAACTTATAAAATATAAAAAAACTTTATATTTTTACCAGCAACAAAACGGCTACAAACTCCAAAGGACCTGCATTAAATAAAAAAAAATTATAATAAGTATAACAAAATAGCAACAGTTAGGATGAATTTAAAGTGGCTGAAATACACAAATTAGAGGCAACAATATAAAACTACAACAAAAGCCAAAAAATTTATATAATTGTTCACATAAATTTCATAAAAATTCTTAACATTCAATATTAAATTGCTTTGAGTAAAAAAATGCATAGAGAAAAAACTGACTATTGCAAAAAATGCAGTAATTGTAAGGATAGAACTTAATTGTGTGTTTTTGGAATAGTGTTCAACAACAGTGGGGTCACAATAATTTTTTCAAAAATACATGTTTATTTTTTTTTTTTTGTTATTTTTGTAAACACTTTTCATTAAATTATGTTAAGGTATTATAATATTTAATTGTAATACCCCGCAACTCTAGACCCAACTGTCTTATTTTGCACATAAAGTGTTTTTCATCATTATCAACACGAAATTTTCACTACCGAAAACGAAAAAAAAAACAAAAAATATTTATTGTGCGATAAATAATGCGGCAACCAATTTTTAAATTAAACAACAACCGACAGGAGGTGTTCACCAAAAACAACAATAACAAAGTGAATAATAGCAGGAACAACAATAACGCGGTAATAAAATTAAAACAAAAACAAAAAATACACAACCCACAAAATATTTAAAATAAGCCCAGTTAGTACCAGAGTAATACCAACTACGTTGGTTCAGTTCAGTTCAGTTGCAGAGGATGCAATTGGGTTTCTTTCATTGTTTCGTTCACTTTGGTATGGCATGATCCAGTTTTGTTTATTTTCGTTGAAGTTGTTGTTTTATATTTAATGGTTGCATTGTAGTTGTTTTGTCGACAATAAATCCATTGCAGTTACAATGCATTTAAATAGTATACCTACATACAAACTCATATTTGTAGCAAATAGGTTGGTGTTAAATTTCCTTATCTGTGGCGCTGTTGTTGTCGTTTTTTTATATGTTAATATTTTTTTATATTATTTGGTTGCGGTAATTTTTTATTTTAGTTTGTTTTCTTTTTTATTTTTTTTAATTTTGGGTGGCATTGCAAATTAACTGTCTTCCGTTGTATGACAGCGTCAATGCAGTTGCAAAAACAGTGCTATGAATTACAACAGTTTGGATGGATTCTTATTTGCCTTAATTTGGCATAACTAATGAAAGAAACTCATCAAAATTATAGAGGATAAATTTGACTGATTTTTTAAATTAAAAGATTTGAAGCTTTAATATATAACCTTCATTAAAATTCTATATTAATTTCTCATCCAATTACAAAAACAAACCCATAAATTTTGTACGATTCGACATTTCTCTATTTTTAGGAAAACTCTCATCAACAGCTAAGTAACAGATATATGTACATTCGGATTCGTAAGTAAGATTTCGATTTTTTAATGAAAACTAAAACAGTTGCACTTATGCCCGTAATACGTTTCTTTCTCATAATTCTTTTATTTAATTTGGTTTAAGCAAGGATGCCAATTAAATCGTTTATCTGTTGCAGGAAAATACTCAAACAAAAAAAAAGGCGGGTGGAAATATCAAAAGCCCACGCATAGAGTCAGACACACAGACGCACACATAAACATTAATTGTAAGCCAACTGGTGCATGTGTCAGTATGCTTAAGGATATAACGAATTTTTTGGTATGTGACAATGATCATTGCGGCCGTAAATATTACACATTGCGGGTGGTCGCAAAACTGCGGGTGATTACCACTTTTTAACAGCCTTGGTTTTTTCATTCTCTCTTTATTTTTATATATTTTTGTTGGCCAACTTTTTTTTCTCCATTTTATTTACACCAAAGTCATTAATTTTGTTTTTCTTTATTTTGTAATTTAACAAAGTATAAAGAAATAATTGAAACGCTACGGCAATTGTTGGGTTAAATCCTCAACACCATCGACCCATTTGCCTGTAGATTGGATTAAATTGTTGCAATTGTTGCAAAACAGAATGAAAAATACACCAAAATGTTGCATGCACGTTTACATTTAGTTGTGAATATGGGAGGACAATGAAGGAACGAATGAGTGAATGGGCTCCAAATAATACTCGATTACTTGAATTAACGAAAATTGAAAATAAATTTGTGTTGGCGACAATTTTATGCGATTTTTTGGCTCGATTTACTAAAAATTAAAATAAAAAAAAAATGAGAAAGAAAAAATCCTGAACACACAAAATGAATGTTTTTTAATCTATGTATATAGAGTTTTCCACCTCGTACTTCCATTTTTTTGCAGAGCATAAAATTATATCGGTTGTAAAATGTATAGAAAGAATGGAATACTTATCACTATTTTAGTCGGGTGAATGATACAAGGGATGGATACACTAAGAGTATGGAATCCCGCAGAGTTCTGTTAGCAGGTTGGTTGCATATTATTTCTGCCCAGCGTGGGTGAAAAGAAATTAAAAGAAATAAGGAAAATACTGCATTGAGTCTTGTGCATTTCAATAAAAATTTTCGCATGCACGTTCATGTTTTTGCACAAAATTCTTTCAAATTTTCAGTTGGCTGAATGAGTTGGCCTGTCATTTCTTACCTCACCTCGCCTGGGCTTGGTTGGCTGCTCCGTTTGACTGTTGAGCAAGGCTGTAAAACATATTCGACTTCTGTCAGAGATTTATGGCATTTGTAGTACACTTGGCACTAGTTTGCAATTTTTTCTCTGTAGTTTTACTTTTTTCTATTGCCTGGTTTTCTTTTGCATTTAAATCATTGTTTGGGGAAAATTTTAAGGTGGTAACATTATGTATGCGCACGTTTCAGGCTCTGCATCCTTTTGGCAAACGCCACAACAAGTAAGTGATGAGGTTGATTGGAATAATTAGAATTTGTAATACCCTACATTTATTTATTAGGGGTTTTAAACTCCGGTATAGTACTTATGAAAGTGTCTTTGAACAAAGACGGCAATAAATTAAAATTCGTCAAAAATAATTTATTTTAAGAAAATAATCGACTAATAAAATATCCCCTCCGTAAATTATCAGTTTTTTATTAAGGGGATTCTGAAACACGTGTGAAAACATGCACAAACTGTATTATTTAAAACTTTAAGTTTGCCAGTTTAAATAGACGATATATTAGTGTTGTTCAAATGCAATTTGTGACAAAATCAATGGAAAATCGATCGACAGATTGCATGGTTTTCGTGGCTTTTAATCTTTTAAATGAAACCCATTATTAGTTCCTTCAAAAAACCATGTTGAATTATATATTTTCTATTTTCTTATTTCACTAAACTTGTTTTAAAATTTATTTTTTAATGTGTAACAAATCACTATTCCATCTATAATTTTTTACGTCTCTTAGTTTTTCATTATTTAATTTTGACCGCCTATGTAAATTTAATCAGTACGTACCGAAAAATGCAGTAATAAACATTCAGATAAAAAAATATTTTAATACTTACGATTTGGGATTGTGACTTTACTTCTTGTAGTGACATCACTTTTTGACATTGTGCATTTTATCGTATATTTTCTTCTTATTTTCAATGCGATATTCTTTCTAACGCATTGTACCACAAGGACATTATTTTTATCTTATTTCTATAATAATGGTAGTGCGATTGCCACGCATGGAATGCGAGAATGACAATTTATTTACTACTATTATTTCTCCAACTGGTGGTGAGTGAAACATCTGCAAAAAGACCACATATAGTTTTTTATGGAGGCGGCCACTTGAACCGCACAAGTATCACCACTAGATACTCGAATTTATTGTCGAAAGGTCGGATACTTAGTATGTTCAGTAAGTGAATGTAAGGTAAGAAACAGGTACTCATTCGAGATGCATACTTATACAAACATATATTTACTTTGGATATACGAGTATCGAGTTCATACATATGGATGTATTTGGATTTTGCACGAGGGTTATTTGAAGGACAAATCTAGCTATAAGTCGACAAGTTTCAAAATAAACTGACCAGCAATTTTTTATCCCAAGTATACTTCATTAAAGTATTGAATACGAATTTGGTCACAGAGTTCTCTATCACATTATTTTCGCAATTATTGAACGAACCTCGAACAATAAAAATAGTATTTTTAAAATACACATTGCACTGTATATACATACATATTTATGCATGTATGTACATACCGAGAAAAACATCTTTAAATATTTTATGACTTTTACTATTTCTGAAATATCTGTAAACAAATTATCGGATTTCAAACATAAAACCCGATAAA